GAGGTTTGTTTTGTTTTGTTTTGTTTTTTCACACGTTTAACAGACACGCCCTGAATATTTAGGCTGAGCTCTTCTCTCAATCAGAAAACACTCCACGTTGTTCCACCTTGTGATGTCATGTGGTGATACAGGAAGTGCTTCACTGTGTTTTTAAATTCTAACTAGAACAATTTAATTTCAGCCCTGGAATTTCCAATCACTACTCAACAAAAGGTAAAATGTAGCTGCTTGAAAACTGTTTGAGTTTTGGAGATGTAGACAGACTAATAAGGATTTAACATTCTAAAAGTATATTATTACTACAGTACTTTTGATACTTTGCAGCTGCATCGACATTCCCTGTGGTGTGACGCTATCTGTAGGCACTGCTCTATCCGAAGCGACGTTAATCAAGTTTAATCTTTTACCCGTCGCTCTCATTCAGCACCCACAGACAAACAATTACAAACTAAATTTCATACCGCTTCAAATTACTTTATCAATTGTTTTAGCTTTTCTGTCAGGAAAACGATGATCTCACAACTAATTCTTCCCATTTTAGATGACTGTGATATCATTTATCGAACTACTACAACTTCTATCCTCCAACCACTTAACGTTATCTATAAGAGTCTGTGCAGGTTTATTCTCCGCTGTCCCTTCAGAACTCACCACTGTACGATGTATCGCCGACTGTCCTGCTCACTCTGTCCTCCCGACGTCAACTTCACTGCTTATTATTTCTCTTTAAATGCATTAATCTCAGTTCTCCTGAAGATCTCAAACAGTATTTCATTCCGTTCAGATCCTCTTACAGTTTACGTCACACAGATGAGATATTTTTTTGTTGTACCAAGAGTCAAAAAACAAATAGAAAAACACTTATTTAAATACAAAGCTCTCTCTGATTCAAACAATCTTCAATCATCGATTCGTGCATCAACTTCTGTCCCTTCTCTGGTTCAATATTTACAGAACCCATATCATTGTTTTTGATCATTTTGTTGTTCATCTTGTTGTATTTTGTGATTATCTTTGAACTCTGTTTTAGTTTTTTGCTCAAATTTGTTTTTATTAACGTCTCAAACAGTCAAGTGTGAGTGAGTGTGTGTGTGTGTTTGTGTTGATTTTGTAGTTTTGATGCTTATTTGAATGTATGTATTGTACTGTCTGCCCGACTGTATCTGTCTTTTGTTGTTGTATGTATGAGGATCCCCTTGAAAACGAGATGGCGAGACATCTCAAGGGGCTTATCCTCCAAACAAATACATTTTAAACAAGTCTCTTTCACATAAAATTATCTTAAAAAACTAGTGAGTATTATCCAACAGTTTTTCAGTTAGTCACTCTCAACTTTTGTGTTAAAAATCGACACTAAAACAGTTAAATGAACACTTTTAAAATGTATTTTGTATTCTGACAAATGTCTGCCTTGTTTCACCATAGTAACCGCTGAACCTTCCACCATAGACATTCATGAATAACACGGCAAAGTATTAATAATCAGATCTAACAGTTTTGCAGTGTATCTCGTAGCAGTTGTCTCGCTCTCACCTCTCCCTCTGCGGACGGCTTCAGTGCTTTGGGGTTTGTCTTTGGCCTTTCTTTGGGGCAGCTGCGGTGGAAATGGCCCCTGTTTTTGGAGGAGGGGGGGGTGGAGGGGGCAGTTGTTTATGGCCCCATTCAAAGAGATCTCAAACACAGGAAGGAAGGAACTGCCCAAGTGCCATACTGTATCAGAAGTCCTTTTAAAACCACTGGGAAGACATAAATAAACAATAGCCTGTGATAGTATAAGGCAGTGATTACAAGAATATGCCAGCGTGATAATCGAGAAATGACGGCAATAACGTTCAAGGGTCATTATAACGCTATTTTCTGATCTGTGATTCAATGTTGTTTCCTCATCGCAAACATACCTGGAGTCGTGTTTTGTTTCATTCAGGCATGTTTAACGTACAAAAGCTGCATATTTAGGCTGAGTTAATCTCTCACACTGAAAACACACAAAAAATTACAATAAAATGACTTGACTAAAATTAAAAAAGAAAAAGAATCGGGCATATGGTTGTCCGAAAAGGCTGCTCACGTAATGGTCAGTGATCATCCTGGCTGTTTTTATGCAAGTGGTTAGGAGCAGATTTCAGAATTTGGGAGAAGAAATTTGACAATTTTTTTATCAAGGAAATTATTAGCCAATGAAAAATTTTGTTGGGACACTAGACACTCAAAATGAAGTTCAGTTTTCGAGCATCAGGTCAGTTATAAACAGGCTTATGACTCAATGAATGACAATGAATGTATAATGACTTCTCTAGTCTGTAAAGTAGAGGTGTAACGATAGTAACGAAGTCTCACGATACAATATCGTCACGGTATGAACTTCACAGTACGATATTTATTGCGATATCATGGGAAAGCTCACGATATGGTGGGGAGACTCACGAGTAGATTTGGAATTTACGTTTTAAAAATTGTATTCTGTTCAAAGTTCATAGAAGACTTGACAAAAAGACTGAAATCTGAATTCTGAGCAACAAAAAAAATACAAGAATCACACAGGCTATAGAGCATTTTTGTACAGAATAAGACAGGAGATTTTGTTATTTGTGGAGGAAATGATGGTACGTATTAAACTGCAGCTTTTGCGATTTGCTAATTGCGTCCATTCCAAGTTGTGATTTCCGTTATGTCACTATATTAGGGATGTAACAATATCCAAATCTCTCTGTACGATATTTTGACGATATACATCTCACGGTACGATATTTATTGCGATATTTTGTGGAGGCGAACAAACTGTTAAGATGCTTTTTTCCTCATAAAATGCCTTGACCAGACTTATTCCTAAGTCTTAAAAGTGCTTAGAACTGTTATTTCTTCTTGTAGTCTACACTGAAATGGAGCAAAGGATCATGGTCTATGTAGTTCCACTGTCTTTTTTTAGCCATTGCTGCACCATAACTCTTCATTTAAGCAAAGAGACTTGTAATTCGATATATTGTGATGATCCACGTTATTATTGAACTGAGAACTTTGACAATACGATATCACGATATTTCTGTTATTATTACATCCCTACTGTAAAGTACGAGCTACAAAATTAATCAGAGTCGAACCAAAACCCAAGTTTGGAATAGATGCAAAGATCGCAAAGACTGATATTTTTTGAAGGACCACAATTTTCACCACAAACAACAAAATCTCCTGCTTAAAAACTGCAAAATCTGTTCTGAAATGTGATTATTTTATTAGTTTGCCTGTTAATATTTCAGTATTTTATCTCAGCTCTTCTAAATGCGTTTAAAATGTAAAATTTGAACAGAATCCTATTATTGGGACAAAAATCAAACATCGAATCGCAACGTTGGCCAGAAAAATCACCCTTCGATATTGAGTCCAACTGTATAGCACAATAATTTTACATTTTGCGAGTTAAAAATAATAAGAAATCAGAACGGTCTTGTGTCCTCTGTGAGAGTCAGAGAAACGCCATTATGAGCCGAGGGCCAAATCGATAACAGAGTCTTCCTATTCAAGGTGCGGCTTTGACTTCTGCTAATACTAAGTGCTGCAGACTGCATGTCAAAAGTGCCAGTAGTTATGCCCTTATAGACACAAACATACAGCTAAAAGCACTTTATTGGAAAATCTATACACAAACCAAATAGGCTTTTAAAATGCTAGACCTTGATGCTCTCATATGGAGCTATTGACTTCAACTAAAAAAATTACAATCTGACTTAAAGGTCGCGTATGTAGGATTGTTCGGTCAGAGTTCCGCCATCTGTTCGTCTCCATGGTGACTGGTTTGACTGGAATAACCCACAGTATAGCTTTAAACCTATCTAGCACATATTGCATTATATAGAAGGTGTTTATAGTGCTCAAAAATACCTTGAAAAATGCTCAATCTTGTTGTGAGCGGCGTCGTCTCTTCGCAGATCTGACTTGTAACTTGGCTTGATGGCAGTACTTGCTTGTCTCTACGGAGATAAGACACATTTAATGACATACTGTGGAACATTCTAGTGCAATATACAGTATAACATCTCCATGGAAACGGGCGAATGATGAACCCACCAAAAGAGTTACATACAACTACCATGTGTTCTCAAGATATGATGTAAACATTTTACATTTTACTAATAAGAATTGTAATTTGATTATTTATTCACACGTTCAAGTTATTTGTTTGCCATTTCGTGTTGCCAGATCTTACATCTAAAATCAATTTGTAATAATAAACCTAAAATCTGTCTTTCATATGGCATGTCCTTTAGTATAAATGGTGATTATACTACATTTTTATACCAATAGAAGCACATGTTCCAGATATAACCTTTATAATTCCAAGATTAACATACTTGATTTACAGACTAGTATTTTCTCTCATTAAGTCTAATTTCATTTACTTTAATAATCTACAATAGTCCTTTTTTTAAGCCAACGAAGAACTAACTTTTTTACCAATGCCATTTTGTAACTTGCACATTTGTAAAAAAAAAACAAAACAAAACAAAACAAAAAAACAAACTCAAATACAACATTCTTAATTCAGAGTCAATGTAACTCATAGGGTGTCATTGTTTAGTCTACTGTGTAAATTTAGAATGAGGTAGCACTAAGCAACATGTATTCAGACAGACGGAATAACCTTTAAACTGCATTGCTCTGCTGCCATCTCTTGGTCACAACCGGGAATTGCAATAATTCAGTAAGAATTCAGTAAGAACTTTTATTTTTTCAAGTGACGTCCAGTATCATATATTCAGAGTTTTTGTTGCTAATGAAAAAGAAACATGACGTTTACACAATTATTCAACACAAAGCTGTGAAACAATACTACGGGTTAAAGTTCAAGAAGAGATGTGCAATTTTTATTCCCCTGCATTCACAAGTTCTCGAAAAGGAAGCCAGAGATGTCAGAGTAATATGGTGTGAAGACAAATGCATAATAAAAAAAAAAAAAAAAAAAAAAAAAAAAAAAAATTGCAAGAATAGACTGTAGATCTCAAGATAATGTTAGAAAAGGTGATGTTCAGTTGATTCAAAGTTTGTCTCAAAGCACAATGTTCGGACAATAATCTTATAATCATAATTTGTGTTTAAAAGGTGTACTGTGCAACTTTTCTGTATTACTTTGCCTCAAATGTTCCACAGTATGGCATTAACCATATCCATTAAGCATTTGTTTCACAGGTGTTTTTAGTGTTAACAAAATACCTTGAAAAATACAAACATGCAAATACATTCTTACTATTGAGTAACTCTCCACAGATCTAACCTGTAACTTGACCAAGAGATTGCTTCCCTGGAGTTTAATGCCACACTGTGTATTCTACGCAAAGCAATAATATCTGCATGAAGAGAAGCTAATGACAGACCGCTTACATACAGCAGCTTTAATTTGGGTGCTGTGACATTTTGTTTGATTTTAGTTTTATTGGGAGAACATGAGGCAAAAAGACTGACTGAATCATAATTTTCAACAAAACGTACTGCCTCCATGGGGTCCTGTTCTGTGTAAAAGCTGCTAAACCCTGTAGTTTAGACCTCTGCAAACATGTTCTGAAACGGATGGGTTTCTTGTATTAGTTTGGCTGTTAAGATTCCAGTGTTTTCTCGGATATGAACGAACCGGGATGTATTAAAATGTGCACTTTAGACTAAATCTTAAAGGTCTTATATCATGCAAAACTGACTCTTGTTTAAGTCATGTTAGAATGTTGTTACCTCATCAAAAACATGCCTAGAGTTGTGTTTTTCTTCATCTACACATGTCTGAGTAAGCCTTTATTTAAGTCTGTCTACAACTCCAAAGTTCAAAATGCTCTGTTCCACCTTGTGATGTCATGAAACAGTAGTCAGTTTCATGTTAACGGTTACCTTTTACCTTTTGTTTAGTAAAGATAGGAAATTCCAAAGCTGAAATTACCCAAGTGATTCAAATGAAGCTGTATAAAGTTTAAAAACACAGCGGATCACTTCCTGTATTATCAAATGACATCACAAGGTGCAACAGAATGTTTTCCGTTTGAGAGGAGAACTTTAAATGCGCAGGGTTTGTGCGTTAAACATGCGTGAATGAAACAAAACACAACTCCAGACAGTTTTTGATGATGAACCAACATTATAACATTGATCAGAAAATTGCGTAATATGGGCCCTTTAATTTTAACACCGTTGTCAAAAAAAAAAAAATCAAGTTGACATTTTTCGAGACCATTTTCCCCTAGTGCAGTTAAAGTCTTTGTATAACTGAGGAGAAAGAGAAACAGTTGAAGTATTTTCAATATTTAAAACACAGTAAAATTTCAAGATTCACTGCGGAATACTGTCCAGTGCGTCTGAATTACAGTATATCGTCTGTTGAAGCTGGCTAATCTCACTCTGATCTGCCTGTGTCGACATTATAAGCGGTACACTGTGAATGACTACATTTTGACTCCCCAGACTTAAATTTGGCATCAGTAACGCGCTCTCCTCACACGCTGTCAAGGCACTCTGCTCTAAACTCAGATCCGCCGGCGTCGGAACCTCCATGCACTCCAAGGCTTGTCCGCAAATAGCTCCCGTGCCGGCCGGCGTCAGCATCGCGTCATTGTCTTCTGTCACGACCGTCACCTCCGTCCCTCCTTCCTGAATGAGCGCTTTCAGGCTTTCCAGTTCAGAGCATATGAAAGTTTGGTCTTGCGGTCTGTGCAAAAACGCCTGGTGGAGCGAATTCGTCGAGTCGTCCGGACAGAGTTGCGTTAAAAGCACGGTTTGCGGTTCGAGATTGGCGTCTAAAGATTGCGACGTCGGGATCGGTTGCAAGTTGACCTGCTGTAGCATGGAGTTCACGACCATATTTTGACTTTCTTGACTCAGTAGAACCATATTTGCTTTATTCGAACTCTCCACGTTAGAAAAATCTTGAGAAACGATGATTTTAAGGTGTCCACTCCCCAAACAAGTTCCAATTGTCGTAGGAATTTCAAGTTGGTTGGGTTGCGATGTTGAATCAGGTATTAACGTGATTGTATTCGATTGCGTAGGCAGTTGTAGTTCTAGCATATTACTTTCTTTGTGCTGTTTTTTGTGACTTCTTAATGAATCTTCTCTCACAAAAGACGCGTCGCAAAAATCGCACGAAAAAGCTCTGGCTGCGTCCAGTTTCGCTCTATACCGCGAGCTAACCGGTTTTGTCAATTCTGAACTTTTATTCTTGCTACTTTTACTTTTCGCAACATCTTCTGGTTTATCTCCGTGGACTTTTTTCTGATGGATGACCAAGTTGCTGCGTTGTTTGGAAGCGAAGTTGCAGAATTCGCATTTAAAGGGTTTTTCGTCCGAGTGGATTCTTTCGTGGACTTTGAGCGCCCCCTTGCTGGAGCAGGAGTAACTGCACTTGGAGCATTGAATAGCTTGCGTAGGCTGGTGGTCTCTGGAGTGCTGGCGTAGTGCAGTCTTATTGGTGCATTTGAAATCGCATTGCGTGCATTGGAAAGCGTTGTCAGTGCCGTGTTTGATGTGGATATGAGATTTGAGGTTTCCTTTCATAGCACAGCGGTATTCACAGAAGTCACATTTGTAAGGTTTTTCACCAGAGTGGATCCGGAGGTGACGCTTCAGGTCAGAGTTGATTTTGAACTTGGCGTCGCACTGCTGGCACTGGAACGGAGCATCGCCTGCAAAAAAGAAACAAAGAATGAACAAGATTTTTTATATATTTGTTCATAAAATGCTCTGTACAGTTATGAATTTTACTTGCATTATGTAATCTGTGTTATGTTCTAATATGTGATTGATGGGTGTCCTGTGAAACGCTGTTCCTTTTTAAATGTACAACTGTCAAAACATAAAGTAACTAATCAACTAAAATAAATTAGATGATTCTTGTCTTGAGTGGACTCTGGCTCTAAAGACTTGATCGCTATCAGTAAATGGATATGCATCAGTCCCTGGCGTGTTGATGGCCCTGTCTATTTGTGGTTTTCAAATTTTAAAATGTGATGATGTTATTCTCCCAAATGAGCGGCGAGGGCCAGATTGATTACACTGTACTTTGCAATGAAATATCGGAAAAAGTAAATTCATAAATGTTAAACCTGGTATTTTGATGACTGACTAAACCCTAGAACTCACTGTATTACAACATACTTCAGCATTTTAACAATATGAATTTTAGCTGAACCCCATCTGTATTAATTAATATTATCCTATACCAGACCTAGGCACACATAGGGCCCTTTGGCTGACTCTGACCAGCCCGTTTAAGCTGATTTGGAATAACAAAATAAACATATTTTATAATTTTACCTCATACCTGGACTAAAGCTGCATTGCTTTTAATTTAAAGGTATTTTAAATGACATTTTTTATAAAGGCACCTCACTTTTTCACTGCTTAGTCATAACATAAACTCTTATCAGTCTTACCAGCTTGTCAAAACAATGCTATTTCCTGCATTTTATAAAGAAATACACTACAATATTATGTAGAATTGAGTTACTGTAAGCATTTTGGTCTGGCGCTTCACAAAATTTTCTGCTTCTCGTGTGGTCCCACGGAAAAAATAATTGCCCTCCCCTGTCTTATAGAATGCTGTAATGTCATCTGAAAATCACCAATGCATAGGTGCAGTCTGCAGATCACACTAGCGAGGAGTTTTTTTTCTTCATTTATGCCAAAATATGTGCAGTTACTGAATCCTACATGTAATACTAATTAAGAAAGAAAAAAATTGGGATCTTCATTGAGGTTAATATTATATTATATTTTTTGTGGTTATTTCTGTTATGATTTCATTGATGTTGTGTGTTCCATTGCGTAAGAATGTGGATGTCGTACTTGCCCAAAATAAACACAAATCAATAAAAATGCTTTACATAGCTCCATCTAATACATTTTTTACATGTAAGCCATCGTGTTTTGACACAAACACATCGTGCGTCTCTTTCTGATTGGTTAATATACCTGTCAATCACGACCAAGAGTGGATGGTTCCAGACCCACTCATCTTTGTAAATTTTTGTCAAAGTTTGCGGTTCTGGCTGGCCAGGTGTCCAATGTGGGACCTAATATTCTCAGTGGCCTCCCCTCCAGGTACAAACCAGGCCCACTGAGCATTAACAAAGAGGTTTTGGCCACATACTACAAATAAGAATTGATGTTTTTGACAACTCTACACAGGCTACACAGGCTTGAGAGACAATTCTGTACATTCTAATACCTGAACACAACCAGGTAATCTACTAGACTGCAACTGGGTTTTTTCATGGTATCAATAATCATAGCCCTAAGATTTGACAAATTTTGCAGTGTCGTTAACCCCTCCCCCTTACCAGTGTGTGATCGCAGGTGCACAGTGAGCTGGCTGGAGTTGCGGCTGGCGTAGGAGCAGATCTGACACTTAAAGGGCCTCTCGTCATAGTGGATCCTCATGTGTTTCTTCAGACTGCTGCTGTCGGCCGCGGCGTATGAACACAGTTTACATTTGTGAGGCTTCTCTCCAGTGTGGGAGCGACTGTGCATGTTCAGCTTATCTCTGCGACTGAAGCGCTTATGACACAGCTCACACTCAAACGGCTTCTCTCCTGCGCACACAACAGTTAGATATTTGTTTAAAAAAAAACTACTACTGTTAAGAAGACATTAACCCACACCAAGACTTGTCTATAGGGGGTGAAATAAACAACTTTTTCACAGTTGTAATTCATAAATAACTTGACTGTACTGAACAGACTGGACTTTTTTGTAAAATCTCTAACAAATCAACATTACATGCACACAGATAATTAGCCTAATTCATCAGTCGGTTTCACTTCGTGGAAACTGTCTAACCTCAAGGCATTAGGATTCATTCTCTCAACAGTAGGCAGGTACTTTTTTATTTAACCAATCACTGCTATTTGGTCCTGATGTATGTAATGCGCCTCAAGGCTCCATGGTGTCCAAGTAATAGCCGGCTTCAAAGCTCTTCACTGATTGGCCGGTGGACGGTCTACAACTTCCGGGGTTTTTGCAAACCGTCTAGTGTATTCCGATTCCTGACCTAGTCACTGGAGAGAAATGAAATTGAGTGGAGGCACTAGGTGGTGCCAACCTGGCTAACAGATTTTAACATATACTGTCCAAATTAAAATGAAAAAAATTAAACAAACAAAACAAAAGACAGACCTAATAATTTTTTCTTCACAGAGAGGGGACATTTTAAATCAACAGCGACTTGTAAAAAATTACTACGTTTTACTACTAGCTAACTACTAATTTTGTAGTCTAAAACAGACTTCAAAACAACTGTCTTCCTTATCTTGGAATATATGTGTTGCAGAGGGCCATAGACTGATGGTTAACACAGTGAACCATTCAGATTCAGACTTTTATGTTAATATCTCATCTGTTTGGTCTGTTGCTATTCAGCTTATTATGAGAACGGAGCTCTAAAATTGCAGTACAAGCATGGTATATTGGGTGAATTCTCCATGGAGCCCCAGAGTTGACAGAAATTAGTCTGAGGGTCACATTTGTCATATGGGGCGTAGTTTGGACAACCCTAAAAATACATAATACCAGCCTGTTCAAGACATTTTTATGAACATTGGCATTTCTACAATATTATGAGCCTCCTACAATATCATAAATAGTGTACATTGAGATTAATACTTACATCCCAATAAAAAAAACAGTATTTAAATTATACTAAAATATAAAACTTACCAGTGTGTGTTTTAAGGTGCCTCTCCATATCTTTTTGGCCATACTGCGTTTTAAAAGTGCAACCTAAACATGACAAAAAGGTAGTAAAGTTATATAACCATTGAAACACTTTCCACTGCACAGTTCAGGGGCTGTTGTAATGAGTTGCAGGTTTGTTTTACAGGAAGTACATTTTCCTACAAAAGCTTGGAGGGTCATAAACAGCGAGGCCCCACCTGAGAAGCAGCAGCTGTGTCTCTTTGAAGCTAGTGCCGGTTTCACTTTTCTTTGAGCAGTTTTCGGGGTTTTGCTCGTGGACTTTTTGGCACCTCTCATGACGCAGGTTTTAAACGTTTCCTCAAAGACAAACTCCGTGTTGGGATCTGCGGATGACAAAGTATGTTATTTACAAACAGACATGGACTTTTTATGATGCTGGAAAGGGGTCAAGAAGCAACAGTCTCTCAATGCTATCTAATCTATGTAAAATAAATACAATTTCTATCATATGTGACAATTAAATGCCTTTTTTCCATTTAAAAAATGTATCATATTTCAATTGTTAATCACTAATCAATCCTAATTTGTCACCGTCCTATGGACAAAATCTTAAAGAGATATATTATGAGAATATGAGAGATATTTTATGAGAAAGTAATTTATCAAGTTTTTGTTACAGCCAGCAATGTCCAAATGCCTGATTATGAATAAAAGTGTTGTCATAGCAATTTTATTTATGCTTCATTTTTTAAAACCAGGATTTGGTTCACAATGCTGAGAGAGAAGTCTGAAATATGAGACTGTTGTATTTATAGACACTCCTTTAAAACATGTTTGTAAAGCTCTAAATAACCAGATTAGCAACCCCCCATTATTTGTTTATAGAGAACAATAAATTATTGCAGGTTTTGCAATTTGAGAATTTTAGGACTTCAAATTGCAACTTTGATTTAAATGTATAACAATTCCTTAGAGTTACATTTGGAAAAGTAAAAAGGAAAGAAAGAAAACAAAACAGCTTTTACAACACCAATTTAAACAGTTGGATCCTTACTGGAGTCCCTTATTGGCTCGTAATTAGGTACGCTCCAGTGGTTAGCAAGCAGTGAGTCAGTCTTACTATCATTGGTAAAATGTGGAAAGTAAAAGTAGTAAAATACTGTACTTAAGTATAAATTTTTAGTACCACTACTTAAGTACAATTTAAAGAGGATACTTTTACTTCACTATTTGTGAGCAGGTATCTGTACATTCCAAGTAAAAACTGAAAAGACTTGTATAACTTGACTTGTATAAACAAAAATATACAAATGAAAATAGCTAGCTATTAAATTATTTCTGCTGAGCAACATTCAGCACAACTCCTTATTAAAATCACTACATTTTAAGCTTTATTAGATCTCAAAATCTGAAAAAAATACTTTTTGCTGTTTAAGTACATTCAAGGGCACTTTAATACTTTTACTTAAGTAGATTTTTTTCATGTGATATTTTTACTTACTTGTCATTTTTTGCTCCTGTATGTGTACTTTATTTTGAGTAACAAAACTGAGTACTTCTATCACCACTGCTGCTAGTATTGACTTATCGGGTCATGTTCCATATCAATATTTCATGCTTTCATTCTTTGAAGTAAAAACGGTCTGTTATCATGTCTGTATCATATTTAAGCTGAATGTTTGAACAGTGAACTTAATATCTAGCTTTAAAGATAACATAGGAAGTTCAAAGTATGCTTTTAAACACTTTATTACCCACCATGCTATTGTTGCTTTGTTGTAAATCTCAGGACACATAGTTAGCACTGTTACCTGTCAGGGCGGCTGTAGAAGAGGCCACAGTGTCTGAGGACAGGAGAGCACACTCATTTTGTTTATGAGCCCGAAAAACATCAAGATTGTTGAACTGTTGTTTACAGAATCCACAAATGTGAATGTCTGGGCTCACTTCTAACACCACTGAATGAACTGTAAACAGATGGTAAAGAAAATAGGCCATCACAAATAATAGTGCATGTATAAAAGCTTCATTGCATAAACGGGAAACGTCAGTAAGTGCAGCATTAATCTGTAAACATACACCTTACCTTCAGTGTTGTAAGTAGCCATGGCTAGCTTATTTTGCTGAATCTCAACTCATTTTAGAATAAATTCCATTGCTCACGAATAGGAGCTCCTTTAAAAACGTCAATACAACATCTTTAATTCAGAAAATCGTACAATCTTTATCGCTAAACATTCATATTTGCAGGATTCAAAGAAATGCCAAAACAATTGACAACAAATATCAGCCAAACCAGACAGTAGTTTACGACAGAAAGCACATGGTTTGCGGCAGCGGTAGAGCTCCAGGTTGACGTCGGATGTTGCCTTCAGCGGACATAGGAAAAGTTAAATTTGCCAAATTTAACGAAACCACAATGCACTTATTTTATGAACACTCATTCTCAAAACGATGGTGATCCAATTTCAGTCTATTTGCAAAAGTTAAGATATGACTCCCTTCAGCCATAAGAACCAACAGAGAAGATATCATCACTGTTTTCATCATACTTTGAAAATATCACAACGCAACAAGATATAACAATAGTAAACCTCAATTAAAGTACTAATTATTGAAATAAACATACATTGTCACCCTAGAAACATGGCAAACAAGAAATCTACCAAAAACTTGAGAAATAGCCAGGAATTATGGACTGCAATAAAGAGGAAACTTTTTTATTATTGTTGATTGATGTCCCCTCCCACCATGGATATTGAACGTTCAATATCTATGTCCTCCCACCTCAAAAACAATTGCTTTAATAATTTTCATGATTTTATTTATTTATTTTTGCCTCAAACAAATGATATAATTGCATATAATCTAATGTTATTTGTTTATTTATTGTGTTTGTTCTAATGTGTTATGGTTTATTAATGTTATAAATATTTTATGGTTTTCTGGCGTATTGTTAAAATATCAGATAAATATATTGTACAATCTGTGCCTGGTAGTGTTTCATTGTAGTATTATTAAACTACTCAAATTAATACAATTTGAATAATAAAAATAATTTCACGAATCCTAAACGTTACACAGGTACATTTGGCGGTACCTCGCGTTGAGTCGCTTATTTTTCAAAGTTTTCTTTTTATTTGTTGAAGCAGTGATAACTTTCTGCAACCAAGTAAAAAGTATTATATACAAATGTGTGAAACGGATGTAATTGCGCTTGTTTTGTGTCTCCGTTGTTTATAAAAAGCATTATTTTCCCCTCAGCACATGGCCAAAACCTACGAATCAGCGCCATCTGCTGGTTAAACCGTGTTTCTCGTGTTCCTGAGGTGAGTAGTGATGCCAGGCCTTTTTTTATTCAGTTTTTCAATAAAATTTTCCTATTGCGTTATAAGAAATTGTACTTGATGAACACTTACCTAGTCTAAAGTAGGTTAGGTTGCTCTTGTTTGAGTGATAGACTAAAGATAACATGTAATTAAGTCTAGCTAAGGCCTACTAAAGAGAAAAAGTTTATATTGACTACATGGGCTAGATCAGAGACCCCCACTTAGATTAGGGTTACCAGACGTCCCTATTTACCCTGGACAGTCCCAGTTTAGAGCCCTGTCTCCCCTGTCCCAACAGATTTATCCAAAACCATTGATTTATTCCAGTTTTATTCAAGAAATGTCCCAGGTATCCCTATATTTGACCAATCTGATACCTGCCAACAGTAAATAGAGGCATGCATTGACATTTGTTTATGTAAAATGCAGAAAAGCTGCTTAAAAATCACGAAAACACAAAGAAAATATGACTATACTGACTCACGTGTTAGTCATGAATGGGACGAGTGCAGAACAATTTTCCTTACTTACCAACGGCCACAAACCGGGGGTGTCCCAGGTTTTTTATTTTGAAAATCTGGTCACCCTGACTTAGACACACTTAACTTTAGGGAAATTACTTGAACACAGTAGCTCACACACCACAATATGTCAGAATAACAAAGAGAAAAAATATAAATGCTAGTATTACTAAATAAGAAGAAAAAAATAGCAAGAGACTGGTGTCAAATAAGGCATAATTATATAAATGTATACGTACAACTAAAAATAAAATAAGGCACGGCAAGTTTATTTGTATAGCACAATTCGTGCACAAAGTAATTCAAAGTAAATTAAAGTAAGTAATAAAAATTTCTTAGCTATCAGGTAAACACCAAGAAGTCAAAGATTCAACAAGATGTATTGTTGTGAAAAAGTACAAAGTAATGAAATTCTTCCTTTTACTTGCTTTCTTCCCTTAGAAATACGAAGTACCCACTAGAGAAAACAGTTGTCTCGCCGTCTACTAGCAGATGTAAACCAGCTCTACAGCAGGACGACTCCAAGTCTTAACCAAGTTTTAAAGGTGCGCATAAACATGAACATATATCTCCATTATCACTTTCTTTCAAGTTTTTACAAGTGTTTTCATTGCTCACAGTAACTTCAAAAACATGCATTCTCACTGTGATTGATGTTGCCTCTCCACAGATCAAACCTGTAACTTGGCCTGCTTGACACCTTGAAACATTAGTTTAAAGGTCCTTTATTACACAAAATTGATTCTTGTGAGCTTTTAGCCATATAATAATGTTATCTCATCAAAAACATACCTGGAGTTGTGTTTTGTTTCATTCACACGTTTATTAGGCTGCATCTCCAAAACTCAAAATGATCTATTCCTCCTTCTAATGTCACAAAGCTGTAGTTTTCATGTTAACAGTTACATTTTACCTTTTTTTTCAGTAGTGATTGGTAATTCTAGGACTGAAATTATCCAAATGACTCTAGTGAAGGTGTATGGAGTTTAAAAACACAGTGGAGCACTCCCTGTATCACCACATGACATCACAAGGTGGATGTTTTCTTTATGAGAAAAGAACTCAGCCTAAATATAAAGAGTTTGAGTGCTGAATTAAAGAAAACACAACTCCAGGTCTGTTTGTGATGAGGAAACAACATTATAGCATAGATCAGAAAACAGTGTAATATGGGCCCTTTAATGCCATACTGTGAAACATTTGAGGCAAAACAATAGCATATCCATGGAGACAAGAAGGCAGCTGACCTTCCACCAGAAAAGTTACACTTGTGCACCTTTAAGAGTGTAGACACTACCCACATCAACCTGAGTATATTCTCTACACACTTGTTCTTGACTGTCTTTTTACCATCTTCCAAATTCAACTAGTGGCAGTTTGCTTAACTCCATGGAGGTGTTATTGCTTGTTCCTATTATTGCCATCTATCTCCATGGAGACCAGTAGATGGCACCCCCAGGCCAATAATGTAATAACTATGATTAACTGATAATGTAATAAAAGCTTGCCAATAATGTAATAAGTCAGTGGCTCTCAAAGTTTTCACACCAAGTATCACCAAAGAAAAGAATTGGCTTTATGAGTACTAAAGCAGGTCTATAACTGGACTATTCCAAATCTGATCTAGGACTAAACCAGGTCTAAAAGTTATTGAATAAGGCAAATAAATAAGGCAAACCCGCAAACTGAAGAACTGTATGAAGAAGTGGAAGTGTCATTATGTTATGTCATCACACAGGGTAGCCGCGGGATCTTAAAAGTCTTAAATTTCATGTTTCTAAATTAAGACCTTAAAAAGACTTAAATTATGTTGTCCAAGTCTTATTTTTTTCACAAAGGGCTTAAATTTCATTAGCCTATTTTTTTGTAGACTCAACTGGGCTGCAGTGTGATGTTAAATGGAGGGAGGAAAAAAACAACAACACGAACGTGAATGAATGCCTAATTTGGAGTATCCACAAACAGTACTTTGGTTTCTGGCGCCGGCGGCAGTGAGTAAACAATCAGTAGAGTGGAGGAAGATGTTCGATGGATTATGGGTAAATGCAGGTTTAATTCACAGTGATTCTTAGATTCTAGATATAGTAGTTGGTTGGTCATTATTAGAAATGGATCTGGTGTTTTTCACCTGCATAACTGGTGCGATGTTTGTTTTAATTTTCATTTAAGTGGGCTTAAAAAGATCTTTAAAAAGTCTTAAATTTGGGCTAGTCAAACCTGGGGATACCCTGTCATAGTAACATTTAGTTGCTCAATTCAAGGCAATTGCTTTTCATGGTTTTACCCAGTATGATGAACTTCCTCTTAAAGTAAAGGTTACTACATATTTCAGATTTGAGGAAGTGACTGATTCGTTGGCACAGTTTCATGAGTTCTATGAATGAAAGCTAAAGTTCACTTCACTTGCTGTGCCTGCAGTGTTGGGAAGGTGACTTTTAAAATGTATTCCCCTACAGATTACAGATTACACACACCAAAATGTAATTTGTAAAGTAATCCATTAAATTACTTAAAGTGAGTAATGTAATCTGAATACTTTGGATTACTTGATTTGCTGTAGAGAAGCAAAGACTAGGAAATCGTAACATAAGAAGTATTATCTGCTAAAAGACAATAAAAAAGCCCAGACTTTACTGAACCAAATTAAAAATATTATTGATAGAAGGGGAGGAGACACGGTCCATGCAGCATGATTTAGTCCTGTTAAATCCTGTTTTGGTCCTGTTTTAGACCTGGTTTTAGACCTGGTTTAGTCCTGGTTTAGTCCTGGTTTTAGTCCTGGTTTTAGTCCTGGTTTAGACCTGGTTTAGTCCTGGTTTAGTCCTGGTTTTAGTCCTGGTTTTAGTCCTGGTTTAGACCTGGTTTAGACCTGGTCTTAGTCCTGGTTTTAGACCTGGTTTAGACCTGGTTTAGACCTGGTTTGGACCTGGTTTAGACCTGGTTTGGACCTGGTTTAGCATCCGGCAATGAGTGGAATTACCGAAAAAAAAAAAAAAAGGGAGGATATAGCCCGAAATGTGAAAACAGGAAAATACCGCCGTGTAATCCATTTATTTCAACAAAGTAACTGTAATCCAATTACCACTCACTGAAACAGTAACTGTAACCAAATACAGTTACTCATAATTTGTACTCTGATTACTCCAGTACATGTAATCTGTTACTCCCCAACACTGTGTGCCTGGTTAGATGAAAGAGGAATTTACTGGACACAACACTGAGGAATTTGTAACTCAGCTTTAGATTCACACTCCACTTTAGTCAGATTTTTCAAGGCTATTGGTGTCCTAGATTTTTTCAAGTAAGGTCTGTTTATTAGATTTTACAGTGCATGGGGACAAACAGGTTAAAGAAAAGTTACACATTGCACCTTTAAGACCACAGACATTACCCACAGCTTCCTGAGAATATTTTCCTCGCAGTTGTTCTTTCTACTGCACTTCTTAAATA